TAATTGATATTTCATTTGTCACTTGGCTGTTATTTATGTTTATTGTTAAGTATATTTCTAAATATAAGTATAATTACAGTATTATTAATGTTATTAATAAATGTGAATTGTCGTTTACATTTGTATTGATGTTGAATATATTTGTACACATCAGAATGCCAAGGAAAACACTGAAATAACAGACGATTTTAATATTGATATCATAGACTACTTGATATACAACAAAAACAAACAACTAATTTAGTTGTGTTTTTGTTTGAAAATTTATTAATTGGGTTTTTGATACAAATACAACGTTGTGGAAATCACACTTTTGATATTTGATAAGTTTGATATTTTATTATAATTTTTGTAATTATGTCTTGATTTAATATAATTACCATTTTAAATATGTACAATGTTTTTTATACTACGATGTACTTTGAGATTTTTTTTAAAAATTACGATTGTTTTAATGTTTGTAATACATCTGAATATTTTTTTGATTTTACAAACATTGAAAAAATAATTCGGCAATATAAAATTTTGTTTACAAAAAAAACAAATAATCTATTTATATAATTTTTATTTTTGCCATCCATGGAAACTGGTTTGTCCAGTGGATAGAAAAAATAGATACATGTATCCACTCATACTCCGTAGCTTTTGCATTTTTTACTCACAAAATTTTTGTCTCATTTTTGTTTTTCTGTTTTTTTTTCGAATATAGAGTGCACCTTTAATCAACAAATTTCATTATTTTTTAGTTATTTTGCCAGAAATTAAAAAAGAAAAGAAAAAAATTTACACACCTTGGGAAAACGAAAAACCATTTTCATGACTCCACACACCGATAGAATTTTTACTGTAATGGTTTAGTTGTCGATTTATATGACGCTTAAATCCACAACATTTAAACTTCCACGTCCAACAAAACAACAATTATTTAATGTTGTTACATTTGATTATATTGTAACACAATCCAAACTAATTTAATAACATTTAATATGTAAATAAATGGTTTTGTTTATTTATCATTAAAATATTAATATTGGTTATGTTATGATTATTTTCAATATTGAATTTATGATTAATCGATTATATTTTTTTCTGTTTAAACACAATACAGTATAACCTCCCAAGAGTGGGAAAGTGTGGTAATTTTGTTCTCTCAAGAGTGGGCATTTTTAGCCAATCAAACCTTAATTACCGCTCTATAAAGAACTCTATTTTTAGTTTCAGTCTAAAAATGCCCGCTCTTGAAAGAACCCGCTCTTCAGAGGTACGGCTCTTGGGAGGTTTTACTGTTATATTTTAATATTTAATATGAAATATTCAAAAAATATAAAACATTCAAGAATGTTTCGAATTGTTTCAAAATAATTTAATAAATCTGATCCCAAGTCACGATTTCAAATTATATTCATGAAATTTGTAAACAACAAATAGAATATTTATTACAGTATAATCCGGGTTTAATTCCAGTCCGGGTTTAATTAAATAATCGGGTTTAATTCATTCAAAATTAATTAAACCCGAAGAAAGAAAAAATGATAAAAACAACACTTTTGAGTTTTATTATCATTGTCTTGTTTTTTTGTTTAAATTTATGTAAAATAATTGGGTTTTCACCTAAATTAATCAGAATATTTGTTTTTGAATAAAAATGCATTATTTTTGTATCTGAAACTATTTTTCGGTACTATAATATTATAAATTACTTATTATTAAATAATGAATAAATAAAAACGAACATAATGAACTCCAGTTTTTATTCGTTTTTATTTATTTAAACACACTTGTTTCATTATCACCTTAACAAAGTATTTGCCGCGAGTGTTTTTTGAATGAAGTCCACTTTTCAGCCATTGTTTGTGCGTCCCCATGTCACCCAGTTTCCTCCTCCGTACTGTTTGGACGCGGATGTGGTCCCTTTTCAAACGGGGCGTTCATTGGGATCTGTGCTAAGGAGGACATTGAAAGTGTGTGGAACGGGTGCACAAACAGACCGCCTGTGCCTTCTTTTCGATATTTGTCTCACTCGGTTTCCACTGTTTCGAGGTGAATTATCGACATATTTTTAATTCGGGAACCAGGCCAAATATTATCCCAATTTCCCATTTACTAAAATTTTAATTAAAATATTATATTAAATAGTTGAAAAAAACTTTATTTTTAGAGACGATGAAAAAGCCTTTACCATCACCATTTGTTTTTGGTTGAATCAGATAATTATTAAATAATTATAACTATGAAACTACCGAAAGTTAATTCCATCAATTATTTTTGATTTAAAAACCATTTAAAATAATTTTCTTGAAAAAGTGGAATTAAACCCGATAGTTCCAAAATATTTTAAGTGAATTAAACCCGGATTATACTGTATTTTTTAAAAATCTAAAATCAATAATAACATTTTTAATAAGAACGTAAATACACAAATGAGTAAAATAATATTAAAAATTGTAAATTTAATTTTATAGTTAAAAACATTATTTTAATTTGTTTTATTGTCAATTAAATAATAAATTTACTTTTTAAAATTTGTGTCTTTTTAATTAGTGCTTCGCAGTTATTTAACTGATTTTTAACTGATTTTTTTCCTGAAAAAAGACGTAATTATTATTGAAAATAACGTGAAAAGGGTTTTATCAAATTACTTTTTTTCTTTTTATATAAGACAACAATCAGGAAAAAAATGGGAGCCTTATCAGATAGATTTACCGAAATCGCACTTTTGAAACTAATTACATCAACATTGTCTATAATATGATTAACTGAAAACGTGTACACAACAATATTAAAATTGAAAGAACTAAAAATTTTGAACCAAAAAGTAGTTTAACAAAAAATAATAAATTAATAAACAAAAATGTTTGTATTATCCAAAACAAATAATTAATATTTTTTATGATTACAAATCATCTAAAGTCTGAATATAAAGGCAGTCTTTTAATGTTATCTGGTGGACAAATAAATAGCAATAATTGTATATAAACACCACATTAAGTAAAACGCAAAAATTAAACAATTGGGATATATTTTTTGTAAAACTTCCAAAAATATTTTAATAATCTAAAAGGTATTAGATAAACTTTAAATATAGACTGTAGATTTATTCATGACTTGTATATTTTACATTATAACCTCAAGTTTAATTAATTCATAAAAAACATAAAAAGGTTGTTCAGGCAAACAATTTACAATCAATATATACAATCATTATCACATCATAATTTATACAATTTATTGCATATTACATTTAAACCTTTAAACCAAAAGTTAAACATGACATGATAGAAAAACAAATAAATTGAAAACATATGATTCTTTATTCAATATAACTTTTTAGATATGTCGACATTTATTTAACATTATTTTTTGAATATTTGTTTTCAAAGGCTATTTGTTTATAACAGAACAAAGACGTTCACCAACTTCAATACATTTGTAATAATTAGTTTTTCTTTATGAATTTGGCAAAATATTTAAATTTTATGATCTAAACTTAAGGAGTAAAGACCAATAAATCATTAATTGAGATTATTCATTTATATTTGAGTTGTTGTTTTCAATTTGAATATATAATATCAACATTGTATTGAATAATAGTTTGTTTATAAATATGATTCTCGTTATTTTTATTATCATTCAAATTTATGACGTACCCACAAAACATAATTTGTTCAAGATAGAAAGTTGAATTAACAAGCTATATCATATGGATTTACATACTCAGTTTTCATAACTCAATAAAAGAATTAACAATTTTTGTTTTTTGATTCAATTAAAAATTCATAACATTAAAACTTAGACTATAAAAAAAGATCTTAATATCTCATGTGCATGTATTTTTGAGCTCCAAGTCAAAAAATAAAAATGCTGTAGATGTTAAATTTTTTATTTTAATGTTATCATTTAAAAATTTAAATTGATTTTTACATATTTACACAGTTGATAGTTATTACATTTTTAAGTTGTATTTTAAAACAAAAGATTAGCAAAAAACAATAATTCATAAATTATTGTTTATAAATTATTTTAAAATATTAATAAATACACGCTTATATTTCAATAATAAATGTTGTGATGTTGTCAAAATACATGTGTTTACTGTTGTATGTTGTGATATTAAAAAATAAAACAATTTTAATTGTATATAATATCTCATTAACATGTAATTATCAACAATAAGCGATTAAATGATCGTTATGAACATTAACGTAGTTAGACAATGAAATAAATAACAATTGATAATATTTGACTTTTCTTCTTTTTAACAAAATGTCACATCAATAACACATAAGTTTCAATCAATAATTGAGAATAACAATGTCATTAACAGTCATCATTCAACTTAAAACTATATTTAACTATTCGTTTATATTAACAATTATGTATGTTCGTTATTAATTTAAACGTTTTAATGTGTTGAAACTTTGTTGTGTAAATATTTGAAAACATTATTTATTTAGGATTAATAATATTTGTTTTTTTCACAGTTTACATTAATAACTATTTTTACAAAATTTGACAAAAAATGCATTTTTTATCATAATTTGGATTTTTGACAAAAACAAAAAAAATCAAAGTTTTGGGTTTTTTATTTATTTTTTTCAAACTTGATTCAGTTTTACAGTTTATGATTTTGTTTCTTAATAATTGTGTTTGAATAAATTAATCCCAAAAGTGGAGATAAAACTATTAAAAATTATTAAATTCTTGAATGTGATTTTTTTTCAGTTTGAAAAATAATAGAAAAAAACTTCAGTTCACAAACTGCGAAGCACTACTTTTAATTATGAAATACAATTATGAAAATTATTATAATAAAATTAATTTATTTATTATTAAAAAATCGTTAAAAAAATTATAAACATTTGTTATTATTATTATTATATTATATTTACAAATTAACTACTTAATTACTTTTATTATTAAGTCAAATTTACTATGAAAAAATAAATGCATCAGAGTTTAATGTATTTTTTTGTTATATAATTTTATTATTTTGTTCTTTTTTATTTTTTTTTATTAACAAAAAAAACGAATGACACACATTTCTTACAGAAGCAAGCGATTACTAAATAATTAAAAGGCCAATTGATAAAACTCATCCCAAGGTGATTATTATAGTATTCTCTATTATAAAACTCTGAGGTTAAAGTCTTTGGTAACTTTACCTTTTCTGGCAACTCATTGATTGTTGTTCCCAAATTTGCTTGTCTCAAAGTCTGGTCGTGTATAAACTTGTACATGTCTCTCTGCTTTTCGTAATACTCTACTATGTTTTTATTTCCCCAAGTCGGCCACGTGTGCGAACCAAATAAACACTCAACATTTTCAGAGTATCTGTCCAACAAATTGTCGATGTATTTCGACCAATCTTTACCATTACGAACAACAGCACATCGAAGGGTGTATAAGTTGTGTAAAGTCCTGTTAATTTCCTCGGCAGTACAAACTGCTTTTAATTGTGGAAAGTACATCATCTCTGTTGGTGCTTCTGCGTTGGGAGTATACGTGAAATCAATTTCTACACCATCAATAGTTAGTGTTTTATCTTCTCCAATTTCATACAAATTATTTGGATCAAAGTTGTAAGATTCAGTGATTTGACCAAGAGAGTAATACGTCCCAACTCCACCACCTAAACACCCCTTTTCATTGTGTTCAAGGGTCACTCCAAATTGGAAAAAGCTTCGTCTTCCCATTGCTATTCCAGCAAGCAGTTCCTCTGCAAAATGCATTTTAAACATATCTTTGGGTATTACTATTTTAGTGTCTTTCTCAAGTACCCCATCAAGTCCTTTGATATGATCTCCATGAGAATGAGTCAACATCACACAGGTCACTGGAAGATCGGCTACCTTTTCTCGTAACAATTTGAGACCAGCAGCAGCCGACTCCATGCAACATAAAGTGTCAATTATAAGCCACCCCTTTTCACCTCTTATAAATGACATGTTGGCAACATCATATCCTCTAAATTGATACACTTTGTTTGGAATCAATTCAAAGAGACCGTCTATTCTGATTAACTGACTTTGGCGCCATAAGGAAGGATTGACTGTTTCAGGACAAGGACCTAACAGAAAGTCACTGTGATGAACATCAAAAGACTTACCACCTTTGTTACTTGGAATAACTCCTCCATCAACACTGCAAATAAAGCCCCTCATTGAGTCTTCATAATCTCGACGATCAGAAAAGTCCAATTCTTTTAAAACTTTTGTGTTGGCAGATTTCACAAAAGTGTTAGCCATTTGATTAAACAGAGTTTGTAAAATTGATTTAAATATTATTGTATGGCACAAAGGGTAATAAAAATATAATTATAAACAAGTAATTAAATAAGGGTAATAATTAATAGTTACTATGATAAACGACTTAATTAATTGTGTACAAATAAAAGTTCAAGTTTTTTGATCTTTTTTAATAATGAACAGACCAATGGATTTTTTAAATATTTTAATTTAAAAAGGTCAATGGTTATTCTATCAATTCAGAAAAATAAAAGAATTTTTTGCTTTGAATTAATAATATTGAGTTTGGATTATTTAATTTCGAAAACATCGATTTCAAATTAATTGAAGTCCAAAAGTTCAAAAAAGTTGAGCATAATAACTTCTTAAAAATATTTTTTATCATATTTATTAATAATAACAATATAATTAATTAAAACACTTAAAACAATTGTTATATTTCTAAGTTTTTTTTACAAATAATAAACTATTATTTGATTTATTATTTGTTTTATTATTTTATTATTATTTTAATTTAAATTGTGTTTTTAATTATTAAAAATTGAATGGATTATTTGTTTGATTTATTGTTTTATATATAATTAAAAGTGCCTTTCTGAATTAGTTATTTAATTAATTTAGATATGTTTGAAGCTTCTTTGTGATATCTTCAATTTTGAGTCTTTCGATTTGATTTTGACACCAACACTTTGTAATGAGTTTAAACAGATCATTTGAAATGTTTTGAGTATTTTCAAATCGTTTACCAGAGTTAACAAACTCTGCTATTTTCCATGGAAATTTGAAGTCTTCTTTTGGATAAGCTTCTTTCCATATAAAACACTCGTACATAGTAATAGCAAACGAATAGATGTCTGCACTTTTCTTGTACTTTTCTTGTTTTAAAACTTCAGGCGCCATATATGTAGGTGTACCAATACCCTTAGTGAATGTCATGTTAGTCATCATCATATTCACATTTCTTGATGACCCAAAATCAGTCAATTTGGCGTTCACATCAATTCCACTTTCTAATGAAAACACTAAGAAATTGTCTGGTTTAATGTCTCTATGTAAAATCCCATTGTTATGCAAATACTCCAATCCTTTTGCTGCGTCATACATTAACTTAATACGCGTTGGATTTTTTACTTCTTCTGTTTTTTTATGTTTCATTAAGTCTTGTAAAGACCCATATTGTGCAAATTCAGTGACCATACATATCTTATTTGGTATAAATACAGCGCCATAAAAGTGGACGATATATTCACTCCTAAATTTATCCAACATTAGGACTTCCTTCTCAAACTCGTCTACTTTTGTTTTATCACTTCCGTTCAATTTCATCTTCTTAATAGCAACGACATTCCCTCGATAAGTTCCTTTGTAGACAATTCCAAAAGACCCCTCGCCAAGTTTCTTTTCTTCATTAATTTCATTGGGGTCTAAACGAGTCGACATCTCTGTCTCTGCTTTTATAAAAATTGGCATTTCATAGTTTTCTCCTTTTTTCATATCAACAGATATCAAAATAAGTTTGTCGTCTATTTTACATGAACAGTTTGGTTGAATGAAAACTTCAAATTCAATTGCTTTTCCACGTGGAATGACAACTATTTTGGGTTCAACTCGGAGTGTCATCTTTTCATTGTTTTCTTTAAAGGTAAACTGGACTTTCAAAGTGTTTTTGCCGACGTTTCCCACACAGATCAATTCACGACTTTCAACAGAAACGGGAATTTCTCTTTGATTTTCATTTTTTCCTTCAAACACAATTTCTAATTTGTTGAGTAATATACTTTTATTCGAAGTTTTGATAAAAGAAATGTTTGTCTTGTCAATTGAAAAGACACTGAACTGTTGAACACATCTTTTAAGCCTTAAATAATCAAAATATTTGGTGAGTGCTATTATCATTAATATAATTAAACATATTATTATAAATACTATAAAAATGACGATGAGAAGTATCACCCACCACACGGCTTGTGTGATGCATGAAGTGTTGTCTGAGTTTGTGGTGTGCCAGAAAGAACACTTTGAACACTTTGAGTTGGTCACTTCCACACAGTTCGCAACTTCACTTTTTGCAGAACAATTTTTGTTTATTAAAATGAAATTATCTTCACATGACATGCAGTCCGTGTTGGAGTAACATTTGTTGCAATTGGGAATTGCAGAGGAACACGACGAGCAATACTGGTTATCATAATAATAACCAATTGAACACGTCACACACCCAGATGAACTTGTCACGTTGCAATTTGTCAAGTTTTTGTATGGAATGCATTGGGTGTGGTCGCTGAGTAAAAAGTAGTCTACATTGCAGAGCAAACACATCGCGTCGTTGGTGCATTTATTACACCCATCAACACAAGACTCACACAGAGATGTTTTTGGATTTCTGAAATAGCCATCTTCACACACAACACACGTGGACGTCCCTTGCAAGTAGTTTTTGCAGTGGAATTTGTCAGAGATTTCTTCGCAATAAGTCCCGTTAAAGACGTGTTTTGAGTCGCATTGGAGACACGTGTTTGAGTCAGAACAGAGAACGCAGAAGTCTTGACACGATGGACATACACCATTTTCAAGATAATGTCCTGGTGAGCACCTGATACATCGATCGTTTGCTTTGCTCATTTGGTCGCAATTGTCCGTTGTTCCTTCTGAGACGCAACTGCGTGTTCCATCAAGGTGAAGTCCCTCAGCACAAGTGAAACAATTTCCACTCTTTGAAGAAGTCAGACAGTTCTTTGGATTGGCTATACACTTCCCATTTGAGTTAATATAATTTGTTGCAACTGAACAGTACGAGCAATGAACATCTGTCGACGACGAACACCCGCTGTCGGTGTAACTCGAACACGTTCCCTCCATTGTCAACACAGCGTCTTTGCATTTCAGACAACTTGAAGAGTCACACAACAAACAGAAAGCACCATACTTGTCTGTGCATTGTTGGCACACGTTTGTTGTTTTGTCAACGAAGTACCCGCCAACACAACTCAACACTTCTGTGTTTGATTTTCTATCAAAGTTCGATACTGAGACACAACTGCCATCGTGTAAGACACTCGCTATGTTGCAAACGGTACACGTCGTCGAGTCGGTTTGTTGTAAACACGTTGCTGCTGTATTTAAACACACATCGTAGTGACTGTAGTACCCATTTGCACATTTGAGTGAGATTCCTCTGCCATGAAGGAGTGTTGTTGCTCTGTCAACTCCTTTGCACACACCACTTTCAACAAGATTCCAGTCAGCACACTCAACACACTTCCCACCAACACAGTGTGTGCACGTTGTTGCGCCACCCGTGTTACAACTAACACATTCGTATTTGTACGCCTCATACCGACTGCCACACGTGTCGCACACAGACGAAGTTGCTCCCTGATAATAGTTGGTGCAAGTACTGTCGTAATTGTAACACAGACCATTTGTTAGATATGAATTTCTGCAATTCTCACATGTTGTTGTGCTGCCTTTGACAAGAAAGGCAGTGCAGTTTGTTGAAGAACTGTACACAACAGAAACGCCATCAGTTGCACCCTTCATCGCCTTTGCGGTATTTTCAAAGCCAAACGAAGAACTCACAAACAGTTTACTTGCTGATTGTGACACTGAGATGGTTTGCTTATCAAGTGAGCTCTTGTCAATGTTAATCACTGTGTTACTTTTGTCTTGGAATTGTGACACCTTTGTGTCTTTCTTAGTGAGAGAAGTCTGTGTGATCTGTTGTGAGAAGACGCCATCAAATTGGACTGTTTGTGTGTAACTTACAGTGTTTATCTGAATCACTGTGTTGGCTGTGTTAGTTGGGCAGTGAAGCACTTCGTTTTGATAACTTGTGTTGTTGTTCATATCACTCTTGAGAAGAACACACAGAATGCCATAATCAAATGTTGATGTTCCACAGTGGCGAACCAACTTCTTTCCAAGCATCTTTGTGTTTGCCGTGTCCAGTGTTTGCTGTGTTTCACTTTGGTATGAAATCAACTCAAAGCAGGTGGTAAAGTCACTTCCAGTGTATTGAATTGAACTCAGAGACGGAACACTTCCACTGGATAACACCTTCACAACACCACTTGTGTTGCTTCTTGTGAGTTGTTGTGTTGCAGTGAATGTCGAGAAACTGAATGTGCCTTGTGTTGTGATTTGTGTGTTTTGTGAAATGTCGAAATGTGTGCATGTCACTGTTGACTTTGGAATTGTGACACTTCCACCAAAACCGCAACTCGCTGCACTCAACGTGAATTGTCCAAGAGATATTTCAATTGCAGGGTTTGTGGATTTGATTGCTTTCCAAACCTCACTTTTTGTTGGATTGTAACTATTTCCAGTAACAACAAGAGTGAGTTCGTTTTCAAGTGTTGAGTCAACACAGTCGTCGCGATTCAAAATTGGATTGGCGGTGTCGCTGGTTGTGAATTTACTGCCATCATATCGGCAGTCACACAACGTGTCAATTGACGTTTTCAGAATCGCACGTCGCCCACATTTTGTCAGTAAATTGCTTTTATCTTCAAAACTTCCATCAACGGAAAAGAGGATGTTATTCGCAAAATTTGTTGAATCTTTAAGTGACGCCGTCTCAATTGAAATTCCTCCTTTGAAATAGAAATTCCCAACTGAATTTATTGTGAGTGTTTTGACTGTGCATTTCATCTCAAAAGTGACGGCCTTTTCACTCTCAATTGTGAGTTCAGTGAATGTGATTCCATCTGTGTTTGTTGGTAACGGAGTAACTGTGTACGCCTTTGATGCACCAAATGTTGCTGAATACCACACATTTGCTGTTGGAGAGATTGTAACACTTATCGAGTTGCCACTCAACATACTTAAATCCAAATCAAATGCAGTTGAATTGTATCTGCAATCCGGGAAATTGAAGTTGTAATCGTTTGTGACTGAAGTTGTTGTTGGCTTGCATGTGCACTCCGTGTTATCTGTTACCCCCGCATACCCAGTGTCGAATAACAAATACCTGATAACTCCATTTCGGTTGCACACTAATTTCTGGATGTATGAAACTGTGCCGTTTGATGGATTTTTTAACGCCATGTTGTACGTTATTGCCGAGTTGGCAGTGAAGAGATACCTTCCACTTCCATAGTTCTCACCAAACACATAGTCGTAATTAAATTTAAAAAGAATTGTCTGCTTCTTTGTTCCATCTATACATAAATATGAAGGTTTATCACCAACAGTCTTATTTTTACTGATTATCCACATCTGGTCAATATCTGAATATAGGTGGAGGCCTTTCGATTGAATGACGAACTTTGGTCGAATTTCAACAATATTGTTCACAACATTTCTACAATTTATTTCATTGTTAAAGCATCCCATCGAAACAAAAAGACCCTCCGGATAAAGGTCACCAAACACAACATAACTTGAAGAAAGCTTAGTTCGTACAAACAAAGCAGAAAGAGCTATTTCCGTATTTGCAAAATTAAATTGTGAAATTGTGTCAGCCGGATAATCTCGGTCGTCAAATGTAATTTCGTTTGTTGAGCAACAACTTTCAGTGAACGTGATTGAAACTTTTGAACTGTCAACTTTGGAAATGTCTAGACCCCTTGTAATTAATGCGCAGGTTGAAGTTTGTTTGTCGTAAGAAATCACACCTTGTTTATATTCGCACCAAATTGCGTCGACTCGAAGAGCAAGCACAATTGTAATTAATAATAACATTATTTGAAATTTGAGTTTGAGCAAAAACAAAGCTTATGATTGATTCAATAACAATATTAATTAAATTGCTAACTAAAATTAATTTACTATTTTTTATTGGTGTGACAACTGAAGTTTTTATTATCATCAAAAAAATGATGGTATTGAAGATTAGAGTTTGAAAAGTGTTGAGAAGTATTAAAATCAAAACGTCTATGTATTATAGTTTAATAAACTATCATATAGTTTATTATATATAAATATATTCAATGAATTTTAATAAAAAAACTAAAAATATAAATCCAATTTGTTGTATTATTTTTTAAAATAATTTTAGTGTATAACACAAAGTAGTATATAAATTATGTAGATTTAGGGGGGACACCATTTTCTATTAATTTTAAATAAAATCGCGAGGGACGCGGATCTGAATTTTCACAAAATTCGGGATTTTTTATTTTTCAAAAAATTTGAAATCATATTTTTTAATTATTTTAATTTTTTATTTCCCTAAAATGAGCGCTGATAAAGATCAATACAGAATTAAGAATTTCTATAAATTTACTATTACTTATTCTGAAGAAGATATTTTAAACTGTTTTACTATTAAAGCAGGAACTATTAAAGCAGCATCTACTACAATTAATAACAAAGAATGTAGAAAAGAATTAATTGCTATGGGAATTATTACAAGAGATTTATATTACTATAAAGCAAAATTGGAATCTCAATTAAAAAGAATGGAAGATAATAAGAAAAGTATTATTAAATTAGAACAACCATTTTTAACAAAAGTTTTCAATAAATTAAACAAAACTGATAAACAAACTTTTGGTTTAATTATAAAAAAGCAACATTAATTAAAGATTTAGATGTTGAAAAAGAACTTAATAAAAAGAATTTAGAATGGGCTTTAAATAATATTTCTTTTGATAATATTGAAGATAATGATGATTTGATGAGAGAAGATATGTATCAAAAATTTGATGAAGAATTAAGAATTAACACTGAAAGAAAAAATTATTTTAATGAATTAAAAGAAAAAGAACAATATGAAAATAATATGGGAAATTATAATGATATGATAAAAGAATTAGAACAACAACAACTTTATAATGATAATATGGAAGAATATAACAAAATGATAGAAGATATTAATGACAATTCTGAAATTAATACTAAAGTAACATATGATAAAGAAAATAAAATAATTTATGCTGATCTTAGATGTGGTTTTAGAGATAAAGTAAGAAGAATTCAATTAGTAAGAGAGTATTTTAACGATTTAATTAAAACTTATTCGTCAACTACTGATATAGTTTATAATTATCACCTTAGTCAAGATGGATGGAAATCTTATATGTTAAATACTCAAGACGCAATTGATAAATTTCTTAGTTCAGTATCTGAAAATTCTATGGATTTTATCAATAAACAAGAAGTAAATGTATCTATTGATTCTACTTTTTATGTTAAACAAACTATTCCAGAACCACTATTCTTACTTGAATCAAAAATTTCTCCATATCATTACGAAGAAGATCTTATTCATCCATATAAACTACAGGTGGTTCTTTCTTCTCATACAGATATAAAGAAGAATTCAGTATATTTGGAAAATATCTTACTAAAGCACAAATATTCAGTTCATTATTTGATAAAAATGGAAAGATTAAAACAGAATTTGATTTAAATTGTTTCTGTTATGCTTTAAAACAAGCTAAAGTTGAAAATAAAACTTTAGAATTGGTTTTAATTCATTGTAGAGGTAGATATCAAAAAGCTAAATTGTTGAATGAATTATGTAAATCTGCTCATATTAGAATAAGAATTGATAGAGAGAATACAGATAAAACAAATTCACATAAAAA